CGGCAAGCGGGAGCAAAAATTGACCCGCTACCCGGGGACTGCAAACGCCATGCTACTGCAGAGCAATGGGCCACAGGCGCGGCGCGCGCGGCCGGGGGCCGGGCCCTCACCTGAATCAGCGGCGCACGTCAGGTTGAGGTGCACGTGGCCGTGCGGCGTGCCGTCCACGCGCTTGTGCACGCAGCCTAGTGCCGCCGCCAGAACGTACTCCGCCGCCAGCTCGTCCCCGCCCAGCGCGCCGCTCAGCACGCGCAGCGCGGCGCCCCGCAGCGCCCCCAGCGACGCGCGCAGCTCCTCAGGCTTGAGAGACGCCGGCGCGCGCGGCGGCGGCTCGCGGGGCGCCACGCGGCGCGCCAGCACCGCGTGCAGGCGCAGCGCCTGGCTGGTGGGCGGGTGCGCGCCCAGCTCGGCATCCCCGGCCCACACATCGTCGGCGCCATCACCATCGCCGTCGCCGCCCTCTCCTTCAACCTCTGCCCCGTCGACGTCCATCCCGCCGCCGCGGCCGCCGCCGCCCTCCTCTCGCTCCTGCTGCTGCCGCCGCCGCTCGGCGCGGCGCTCTGCGCGCATGGCGGCGGCGGCGAGTGTTGGCATGACGCTCAGGAGCCCGACCACCTCGATCTCATCGTGAAGCTTGAAGGCCTCCGCGCCCTCACCATGCAGCTGCAGGGGCCAGTGGTGGGTTGGGGGTGGTTGATTGCGGGCGCGAGTGCGTGCTCGCAAGTCCGGGCGCGTGTGCGTGTTCGCGAGTGGGTGCGAGGCTCTTGAATGTCCCCGGCTCAGGAGCGATTCGGCGCTCGCGGGAAGAGGGCGCGCTGCAGAGGAGACGCCAAGGGGATTGTCGGGCCGCCGCCAACCCCTCCCCAAGGTGACCCCGCTCACGTAGACGATGCAGTCCCCTGGCAGGCTGGTGGGACCGGCGGCCTCCTGCAGCGCGGCCCCCTGGTCGCGCTGCTGCTCGTCCCCCTGTGCCGCCTGCTGCCCGCCCGCCGCCGCCGCTGCCGGCGCGGGGCTGGGCTCCACCTTGGGCTGCTTTGCTGCGGCGCCCTGGTCACGCCCCCGCTGCTGCTGGTTTTGGGGCTCTGCGTTGAACTGCCGGCCGCGCTTGCCGGCGCGCTCCGCTGCGCCTGCGGGGGGCGCGGAAGAGGCGAGGGTGTTTCAGGGTGCACGGGAAGGCGAGGGAGGCACCAAGGGCGCCTGTCAGGGGCTTGTCGTCTGCGCGCTGCGCGTGCTGTCGTCCACTCCGATTCGCGCACGCATTCACCGCACTGCGCCCGCGGCCCGCGCTCACTCGGGGTCTGGGGCTCCGGTGGCAGCCCCGTCCAACGCGCCTCCGCCCAACCGGACGCGCTCGCCGGCCGCGTGCAGTACAGCGGGCGCCGCTCCCAGACGCGCGTCTCGCGGGCGGCGTCGATGTCGGGCGGCGGCGCGTCGCTGAATTGGGTGGTGCGCCAGGAGCCGTCCGGCAGCTTGTATGCCCCCAGGTAGTACTCTGGGTTGAGCATGTCCTGGACCTGGGGGGGGGTGTGAGGGAGGGGCTGGTGCGTGTGGGGCTCTGCATTGCGCGAGGCCGGCAGGCACGCATTGAGGGCGTGAACAGCAAGGCCAGTGGGTGGGCGCAAGGGACTGAGGCAGGGTTGGCCGGAGGGGCTTACCATGCCGCGGAAGCGGACCAGCGTGCCGCTCGCGATGTTATCAGCAGAGGTGGCCGTCAGGCAGGGCACCTGGGGTGGCAGGGGTGGGGGCTGCGGTCTGGGCAGCGCATCACACTAGCAGCGCAAGCGGCACGCAAGCACCGGCGACGGGGAGCTGCCCACGCTCAGTTCATTATGGCAGGTCGTGCCAAATGCGTGTACAGCCGATATACAACTGCCAGACGCGCCCACCTGCTGCAGTGCCGCGGGGCTGGACAGCACGCGCTCAAAGTGCTTCGTGATCGCCCCAAGCGCGGCGTCCGGAACCCCGCTCGCATGCTGGGCAAAGATCTGCTGCACTACATGCAGAGGCTGCTTAATACACTCCTCCAGACTCATCGTGAGCCTGTGACGATCTGTGCGCGCCAAGATCACGGGGAGGCGCACCCCTGGAACAGGAAGAAAAATGAGCGCGTGAAATGCTCACAAGTCCCCGATGGCATACCCTAATCAACACCGCCTGCTGTCACCCGACGTTCGGTGCTGCGGCTCCAGCACGATTCGCGGATGGAGACGTCGGTAACTTTGTGTGAAACCCATACGCTAACCTGTCAAACGGCTTGCTTGATCTTGAAAAGAGTACGTTGCCTGCAGCACAGTCGCTGGCTGCTGCGGAGGGAACCAAGCCCTTGCAGTCCAGATGAGCGCTGCCTTCTGAGCGTTCCTGCATGTACCCCCGTCGTTTCAGGGCACGGCGCTCTGCAAGTAACCGAGTGTGCGCTCAAAAGTTACACGACAGAGGGACCCCTGCTGCAGAAGCCACTTCACACCACCTGGTAGCCTGACGTGCTGAGCTGCCGGCTGCTGCCGTACCGCGCCGGCTCGCCCGATGAGAGGTTGGCCACGGTCTCGACGTCGATGTCGCACATGGTGCGCGTGGCGCTGAACGACACCTCGATCGGGTAGAAGGCCCCCGGGTCGCAGGCCGGCACGACCATCTCCAGGCTGCCGCTGCGGTTGGTGTCATCGATCAGCTCGATCGACCACAGCAGCGCGCCGCGGCGCGAGTCGTACCGCCACTCACCATCACACTGTGCGCAGCGGGAGGAAGGGGGATAGTGCCGAACAGTAGCGCGTGAGTAACGAATAGAGTTGGCGTTGCCCTCGATGCTGCTGGGTTCGTCATGACGTGCCGATTTCGTGGGGAATTGAGATGGGCAGCCCACCTGAGAGGCTGCTCGTCGCCGCGCAGCTGGCAACCTTCCGAAGCCCCCCGTACCGCCGCCACCGACCCACCTGGTTGACCGCGGGCGCATGGCTCATGTGCGGCAGCGGGATGGCGATGACGACGCGCTGCAGGTCGAAGGGTGCGCCGCTCTCGTACTCGATGTTCACGTAGGTCTCCGATCCCGCGGCGCTGGGCCACGCGTTGATGGTCAGCGGCACCAGCGACTCGTCGCGGCTCTGGTAGCGCCACTTGAGGACGCCCAGCTCGGTGCCTGGCGGCACGGGGGCAGGGGGGACGCGAGCCCGGGCCGCGCGCACGCGCGCTGGTGTTGGCTGGAAGTGGATTCGCTTGGCAGCAGTGCGATGATGAAGCCCTCCCTGGTCCGAAAAACGTCAGTGTCTGGTGCTGCCCGTGCATGCCAAGCGGGACATGCTTCAGCACGCAGTGAGTCGACAAGCGCCCAGGCGGCCGGCCGTGTGCCGCGCGCACCCGTGGGGAACGGCCGCGAGGGGTCCTTGAGGCCGAGCACGCCCTCCGAGTTGTAGGCCGCCTTGTCGATGTTGGGGTGCGTCTTGAACTGGTACCCCTGGTTGGCCCCCTGCCGCACCTGCTCCAGAAGGGCAACCACAGCCGCATGGCGCAGCAAACGGAGGTGAGACGGTCGCTGCCACGCCCGCAAGGGCACGGCACAGCTGCTGCTGGCGCGGCAGCCTGCAGCTGAACACGTTGCTCGGACGCTGCAGCGGCCCTGGCTTGCGACACGTCCCACCTCAGGCCCGTTCCAGAGTTTAGAATCCACGGTGCTCCCCGCCAACAAGGCCAGCACGGTGCGGCGGCCCCAATGGTGAAACGCATGCGGCCTGCCCCGCCCACCTTGGCGCGGATGTACGCGTCCGCCTCGCTGGCCACGATGAGGCTGAGTGTGCCCTGCACCTCCAGTGACTCCACCCCGCCCTGCCTGCTGAGGATGCAGCTCAGCTTCTCGTCAATAGCGGCAAACACGGGCTCTGGAGGGGGGTGGGCAAGAGGGCGTCGGTTGGGCGGGTTGCAGCAATAAAGGTGGTAATGTCCACGAGAGGAGGGAGGCATTAGTGGGTGGGAGTGCCGGTGGTGAGTGATGCCCCTGGGCAGCGGGCAAAAGCTGCGCAGGCGACGTGCGCCTTGAATCGGCCTTCTGCAGCTGTGCGCACCTCTCACAAAAGTCTCCCCCGCCCACAGAGTCTCGCCCGCCCACACAACCATTGCCAACAGTAGGGCGCGCCTCGAGCCACCGATCCCAACACCCATCCATCGCACCTGAGAAGCTGACAGGCGGGGGTGCCCCCGCGGCTGCCGCCGCCACGGCCACGGGCGCCTCCAACGAGGCCACCGCGACGCCCTCCTCCTTGGCCAGGCTCTCCAGCAGGCTGGCGGGGCCGCCCTTGGCCTTGCCCAGCACCATGCCCTTCTTGGGGGCGCCACCCGCGCCCGCGCCCAGTCCGCCCCGCGCGCCGCCGCCGCTGCTGGCCCCGAAGCTCGCGCCGCCGATGCTGGGCGCCAGGCTGATGCCCCGGTCCGCGCCGCCGCCAAAGCCTGCGCCGCCGCCGATGCCGCCGCCGCCGCTTGCGCTGAAGCCCGGCCCGGGCCCGCCGGCCCCCAAGCCGCCGCCGCCGCCAACCCGCGCCTCCACCCTGTGCTTGTCTATCTCGATGGCCTTGCGCTTCATGAGGTCCTTGGTCTCATTGATCTTGGACTGGATGATCATCTTGTGCAGCTTCTCCTCGTGGCTCTCCATCTCGCAGTTCTGCTTCACCTGCTGCACCGTGATGTTCTCCTTGTGGCCCGCACTGATGACCTCGTCGAACGCAAAGATGAGGTCGAACGCGGCCGCCGTGATGGCGGGCTCGTCGACCTCTGGCCCTGCGTACTCTGGGACCAGCTTGGCCAGCAGGCGCAGGGTGTCCAGGTCCTCCAGGATGTTGGAGCCGCGGTTTGTGACCAACAGCAAGTACATGCCCTGGAGGTTGGGTGAAGGGGGTTTGAGGTACAGAGTTGAGCGGGGGATGGGAGGTGGAGGGTGCGGCCGTGGCGCGTATGGACTTGGTGGGGAGGCTGCGGGGTGGGAGTTTTGTGCCGCCATGACGGTGAGGAGGTGGTTGCAGGAAAAGAGGGGCGGTTGCCCACCAGGGACTTGAGGCGAGCGCCGGGCATGCTTGCGCAAGCACAATTGCCTACTGCATGGCAGAGTCGCGGCGGGCGCATCGCCCGATGAAGCGCAAGCAGCAACCAGCTTCGGCCCCCAGCCCATCAGGCGAGCGCTCCTGCCCTCCGCCTGGGGGCCATCGATCGCTGCAGCGTCTGCTGCGCCGGCCTTCGCTGCCACAGTAGCCATTAGCCAGCCCACCTCCATGGGCTGGTAGACGTAGCGTACGTTCTCTGTCTCCACATAGGTATGCTGCTTGCCCGACCCCACCAGCTTTGGGAAAGCTGCCAACAGCCCTTCAATCCTTATGCGGGACATCTCCGCATAGTGCCTCGACACCAGGGCTGCGTCCACCAGGGCATCGCAGGGATCGGTTCAGATCACGAACCACGGGCGATGCAGCGAGACGAGAAAAATCATTGCTCACCCTTGCCATTCTGGCTGACGATGCTCGCTGCCAGGACCACCATGCTGCCGCAGGCTCTCTCGCTTAGAGCGCCCCTCCGAGGCCTATGTTGGACACAATTGTTGAAGCTTGATGTGCATCATGGATCACATCCACCGTGGCCTGGATCAAGCCTGCTGGCAAAGGTACACAACTGCAGACCAGCCCCGAGCAGGCCCCGAGTGACAAACAATGGTGACACGGACTAGCGGAGCCCTCGGTATCATATGACTGACACCATACCTTGTGAGTCTCCCATATGTCCGTTTGCAGCAACGTGCCCGCGCTGTCTCTCACCGTGGATCAATCAAATAGCTGCGAACGTCGAGACCTTGTTGTTGGGCACGCGGAATCACAAGACGCATGCGTGCATCAAGGCTGGTGCGGGGCTGCTGCTGTCGCTGTCGACAGGCTCCGCAGTTTGGCTCGAGGTGCATCGCCAGGTGGCCGCCGCAGCAGGCGGCGCCGCAGCAGCGAGAGCAGCATGCAGCCTTGCTGACGGCGGCGCCCGGCAACACTGCATGGTGCTGGAGTCGCTGTCGCAGAGCAATTAGCACGGCGGCGGCAGCTGCAGGAGAGCAGGCGGCAGCGCGTCTCCCGCCCACTCGCGAGCACTGGGATGCCTACCCCAGCACGGCCGTGGGACGGGTGCGCTGCGTGCATCTGCGTGCATCCCCGAATGCCTTACGCTTGAGCGCGCAGCGGAGTCAGCTGCAGGGATTGTGTTCCTAGCTGGTGCGCATGCATGAACTCGATTCCTTATGTAACTCAGAGCCCGGCCACTGCTGCTGCACCTGCCACGCGCCCACCCTGGCTTCTTCTTGTCGACGCCAGGTGATGGCGGCAGAGGCCAACTATGTGCGCATCGACGTGCAGCACCTTGGTCCCCTGGGACAAGACGGCGGCAGCAGTAGTGGCGCGTCGAAGCTCGGCACCACGACCAGCCACATCGGCGGCAGCGAAAGCAGCGAAGGCAGCGAAAGCAGCAGCGGCACCCACCAGTCTGCCTCACACCAGGAACAGCAGCAGCAGCAGGAGCAGGGTCAACATGCCGACGTGGACACGGAGTCGGCCCTGACCCAGCCGCCGCGGCGGCAGCTGCTGTGCACCGTGCGCGGCCTGCTGAAGAAGGTGCGGCAGCGCGTGCTGGTGGGCGACGTCGTGGTCATAGCCGGCATCGACTGGGCGGCGGGGCGGGGCGTGGTGGAGGGCGTGGCGCCGCGCAGCAGCGAGCTGGTGGACCCGGCTGTGGCCAACGTGGACCACGTGGTGCTGCTCTTCGGCCTCACGCAGCCCCCGGTGAGCGGGGCTCACAGCTGGGTTGGGTTGGGGTTGGGGTGGTGAGCAGACATGGGGAACGTAGCAATGGGCGTCCGCAAAGGAGCGCGGCGCAGGCCTAGGTGATGGCTGGTTGACAGCTCATCGAGTGTCAGAGTGTTGAGTCGGTCGCTTGCATGTCCGGCACATTGCGCTGCCATTGCATCCCTCTCTACATGCGCCGGCGCACCCCTTATCCTCGTGTGCTGCGCTCGCGCCCAGCACTCTTATGCGGAGCCCCGTCTCTCACCCCTCCCTGCCTCCCTCTGCCACCACCCCAATTCACCACCCCAGTTTGAGGAGCAGCAGGTGTCGCGCTTCCTGGTGTCCATCGAGGCCTCAGGCCTGCCCCTAACGCTGGCGCTCAACAAGGCGGACCTCGTGCCAGAGGAGGAGGTCGAAGCCCGCGTGGCCCAGTGCGCGGCCTGGGGCTACAGGGCGGTCCCCGTCAGCTGCGCCAGCGGTCGTGGCCTGGATGCGCTGGGGGCAGTACTGGCGGGCAAGATGAGCGTCGTGGCCGGGCCGTCGGGCGCGGGCAAGAGCAGCCTGATCAATGCGCTGCGGCTGGGGCGGCACCGAGTGGACGACTTTGGGGCCGAGGAGGGGTTTGGGGGCGGCGGCAGCTGGGCGGACGGCGGGGCGGCTGAGGAAGAGGCGGAGCAGGACGGGTGCAGCGGCAGCCGGGACGAGGAGCACGACCGGGGCTCTGAGCAGGAGGAGGAGGAGGGCGAGCAGCGGTGGCATAGCGAGCGCGCCGCGTCAGGCGCAGCGGCCGGCAGCAGCGGCGGCGGCGCTGGCAGCAGCGACTTTCTGGTGGTCGGCGACATGTCCAGGTTTGGCCGCGGCAAACACACCACGCGCGTTGTGCGCCTGATCCCGCTGCCGGGCGGCGGCCTCATGGCCGACACCCCTGGCTTCGGCCTGCCCACCCTGGACCGCGTCCCCAGCGCCGGCCTGGCGCAACTGTTCCCCGAGTTCCGCGCCGCGCGGGCCGCCGCGCCCGGCGGGGGCTGCCGATTTGTGGACTGCATGCACGTGATGGAGCCGGGCTGCGCCGTCAACGAGGCCGGGCTGGAGCGCTACCCCCACTACCTCAAGTTCCTTGCGGAAGTCAAGGTGGGCCGCCTCGCGCCTTGACCGCGCCGGGGCGCTGGCGCCAGGATCCCGGGTATCGATGGGTGTGCGCGGCGGGTCACACAAGGCCTGCGGTGTGCCATGTTGGCTGGCAGGCCTGGGTCAGCATCACATGCCCTTTGTGAGAGCCCGAGCGCAGTCCGGCACACGCTTCTCCGCCGGTCACCTCACAACTCTCCTCGTCCGCGGCTCCCGCCTGTCAATCCCCCCTGTGTGCCAGGCGCGCGAGGACTACGACGTGCGCGTGATGCAGCTGGCCAAGAAGCAGCGAGAGGGCGCGGTCAAGGTCAAGACAGGCCGCGGGGGAGAGACGCGCTTCGAGGCGCGCCTGGAGAGCAAGAAGCACCGCGTGACGTCGCGCAAGCGCGCCAAGCAGAGCCTGATGCGTGCTACGGCGGAGGACGAGGAGGAGGATGGCGACACGGGACGCGGCAACTTGCGATAGGGTTCCCTTGATGAAGCTGCCGCATCGGCAGCTGCCCCTGCGAGTAACCCCATGCGTTGGATTCCCAGCTTGGCTGTCATCCCTCTGCCTCTACTGCGGCGGCGTGCGATGCATGTGATGATGCAGATTACACAAAGCAGGTGCATGTGGGCCTGACAATGAGTGTGGTGACTCTGGTTCAGCCAACAAATCTGGGGTGGGGCAGCGCCGCAAAAGGTTACCCTCCATCTCAAGAGGGGCTTTGGCAGGAGGTGAGGCGCGCAGGCACATGTTGCCTGACACGCGCATCTCTGCTGGGGGAAGTGCTGCAAGAACCGCTCCCCATCCTCAGGACAAAAGGGTTCATGGTTTTGGTTGGACAGGTAGATCGGTTGTTGGGAGCGTAGGGAGGAGGGCGCAGGCACACCGCAAACCTTGATGGCATGGCGCTGCAAACCGCCGTTGACAACTGAAGGACTAGCGATGCGCGCAGGGTTGATGGCGTGTGGTGTATCATGTCAGGTATCACCTCGAAACTGAGCACAAAGGGGATTTTTTGAGGGGACCTGATCAGGTGGCCCTGAGCAAGGGGCTGCCCGGCCTTCGGTGCGCGACACAAGGCTCCGCCAGGCATGCAGGCGCAGCACGCAATCCATCACGGTCTCAAGTATGTCTGCTTGAAGCGGGGCCGAGGGTCGGACATCAGCAGCGGTCACTGCAGCAATTCCCCAACGACACCCTGACGCAACGTGGTCACGCTTCAGGGCAGACCGCTGCCTTGATCCCAACACAATGCCCGCCAAGTCACGCGAGTGGTGGTGGTGGTGGTGGTGCACCACGCAGAGCACACGCGCCAGAGGCTCTGAAGCATCCTGGAGGCTTGCCCTGCGCCGCCTCCTCGGCCCCCCATCAGAGTGCCAATGATCGAGCCTGGATTGCACCACAGCAACCTGCACGACTCCGTGCCTGCTGCCAGGATGTAGGCAGCATGCACACGAGACCCCTTGACAGCCCCTTCACTTCTCGGGCTGGTAGTGGGTGTGCAGCCTCTCGTGGGCCAGGTGGCTGTTGGGCTTCTCCAGCCAGTTCTGCGGTGCGGAAGCAGGTGTTGGTTGAATTTGAGCCCTCATTCGGGTTTGGAGTGCGTGATTCGGGTTGAGGGCAGCATAGTCGCTGTGGCAACCCACTGTTTACTGCCGCGTGGCTTAATTTGATTTCCTCATGAGCCCGATTCTGCAACCTGTGACCATGCAAACTCCTGACCTACAGCCTTCTGGGACGAGTAGCTGCGTGCGCGCGCACGCGCGCACGCTCTCTCACACACACACACACACACACACACACACACACACACACACACACACACACGCACACACAAACACACGCCTGCGCGCACGCGCGTACACACAGCACCGTCCAGCCCGCTCCTCACCTCGTACAGCTTCTGGATGGCGGGGTTCTCGTGGCTGCGCCTCACGGCGGAACGCTCGTCAAGGTCATACATAGCCTGGGGGTGGGGGGGGACGTGGCGACGCATGAGTCGCGCGGCTAGAGGTGTCGCATCTGCGTCATTGATTTCCCCACCTGCAGGTCACTTCAGCGCAGAAAAGCGGCTTCACCCGGTGTTTGCAAACGCTCCACCCCCAACCCACGTGGAATGAGCCGCCACCCCCACCCGTGAGGGCCCCTCACCGCCTGGCGCTGCTGCAGGATGGTCTTGTCGGTGCTGCGGGGCTGGCCCCCGCCTCCGATGCAGCCGCCGGGGCAGGCCATGACCTCGATGAAGTCGTAGGCCAGGCTGCCGTCCTCAACACCCTTCACTATCTGAGGGGGCCGGCGCGGGGTGACGGTGGCCCCTGTTTAGTTGGGCTGAAGTGGCGCCAAACAGCGGGCGGATGTGAAGATGGAATGACTGTTGCGCCAGCTGGCAAGGGGAGAGGAACGCCTCCACAAGGCACGCATCTACGAGAAAGCCAGGACAGTGCCGCTCAACAGGCCGCAAGGCCCTGATGCCGCGGCGAGTGTGCGCCCCCACCTTTTTGGCGTTGCCCAGGCCGTTGGCAACGGCGATGCGCAGCGTCACGCCCGCGCCGGGTGCGGGCTCCAGCACCTTGAACTTGGAGTCGGCTCCGACCGGGATGGTGATCGTGGCCTCCTTCACGCCGGCCAGGCCGCGCGCCTCCTCAAAGGTGATGCGGCCCTGAAGGGGGGACGGGTGGGCGCGAACGGGCACTTGAATGAACCATGCAAGCAAGGGTACGTGGGGGGTTCGTGGATGGGGGGAGCGCAGAGGCACAAGGCTGTTGCCTGGGGGTCATCCCGCGAGACAGAATGGGCCATCACACAGGAATTAATCGGGCGAGCCGCTTTTGGCGCACGCGTGCGTCCGCCGGCTGATTAGAGAGCAGCCGCCGGGGTGCACGCCTGTGCCAGCTTTTTGTGTCACCTTTGCTCGTCTGCGCTGCTTGCCTCCGGCACTCTGCTGTTGTGAAGCACTCTGCTGTTGTGCGACTGGACGCACGGACACACCCCACATCGCACAACAGCACACCAACAGGGCAGCCCCAGCATCAGCGGGGCCCAAACAATTCTGCGTCCCTCAACCCCTGCGAGCCTGCACCTACCATAGGCTGCCCTGACACCAGCTCGTAGACCGTGCGCAGCGCAGCCTCCATGACGCCGCCCGTGGTGCCAAACAGCACGCCGCCGCCAGAGCCCGTGCCCAGGGGGTTGTCGAACTCTGATGGCTCCAGCTCCTGAAAATGGAAATCGACGGGGCCGCAAACGTCAGCAGTGCCCATAACAAAAACACACTGGTGAAGTGTTGCTGACAAAGCCCTGGAGCAGCCTCTCTTCCCAACCCTCTGCCAGGCAAGCTCCAGAAGCCCTAGTGGCAGACTCACACCTTGCCCCGCCTGGGCTTGGGCTTCTTGCCAACTATCCTCGTGATCCCCACCCACCATCATCCCCCATCACGCCCCTCACCGCGAGGTTGATGCCGCGCTCCTGGAAGATCTTCCCCAGGTCGGTGGTCAGCAGCACGTGGTCCACGTCACGCACCGTGCCGCACGCCTCGCCGGCGGTCTCCGTCTCAAACCACTCCCTGTCGGCCTCGCCCTGCTTGCGCACGCAGGGCATGATGCTGACGCTGCAGAGGTCCTGGGCCTGCACGCCCGCGGCGGCTGCAAAGTAGCCCTTGATGACGGCCCCCATCATCATCTGCGTGGGGGGTGGTGGGGTGGGGAGGGGTGGCTTGAGG